CTTCCTCTAGTAGAATATGTGGTCTTCTTGACCTTGATTCTGGCATAAAAATAGGACCCCTTCATGTCTATAAACATTTTATTAAGTGAAGGACACAGATAATCAGTTTTCCTGAGTATAAGCCCCTGTGGTGGAGCAATATATCTCTTGTTTCAGATCTGGCAGTGCCTTACACAGAGGCAACTGCATATGCTCACTAGGGAGAGAGAGCCCAGGGAAGTTTTGTTAGGCTAGGTTGCATGCACTTCCACTCTCTCTCATCAAACCATGTCTGCTAGATTTCTATATCCTTGGCTAATTAATTGGAAATTTACAGTGGGAGTGTGTGTTGGGTCTCTCCTGATCAAGCCACAATCAACTGCAGATTCATCATAATGAATTCATATAAAAGTGTTACCAACTTCGGGAAGGTTTTTTGTCATTATGTGTTTTCTCAAAAACTGATACTGGAAGTATACTATACAATGTTCTCCTGTGATTAAGAACTATTCTAGGGTTTAAGTTTAGGAGCTTTGATCATCTATTGTTCCAAATGTTGGTGAGGTGAGAATTATTTTTACATACCAAGGAAAGATTTCATTAAGTTAGTTTTGACAGGTATTTTCACCCCGGTACCACCAAAAGTTAGCTATATAGGAATAGATTAACCAGAAGAGCCACCTTGCTCTGAGCCCTTCACCAGATCCTGTGCAATGTGGGTCCCCGTCCTGAGCCACGCATAGTGATGGCACAAGAATGAATTGTACTGAAGCTTGCCTGGGGAGCTGGCCTGAAGACATAGGCTGAGAAAAAAAAGTAAGTGCTGAACAAGGTCTCAAGTTCTATTACAAGGATGAGTGCCAGAAGAAGACATGGAGGATGGCTAGGAGGGTAGAATAACAAAAGACAAGAGGACCTTTGAGAGTAGGAGGTGCTAATATGGAAGCCAACATAACCACTACCTTCCATTATCCACATCAATAACACTGCCTTGAAATAAGGAGCACATGTGAAATAGCTGACACACCCTTGACATAAAGATGCTCAATAAATACTATTCTTCTTCTTTTCCACTAATCCCATTCATTAGCATTAGAGAACTATTGTAACAAATTTATACCAAGCAGCTTCCATGGGTGGCCAAGTGCTAGTCGAAGAGAGAAAATATTAATTAAACCTAGTTAAAAAAATCTAATTAAAACAATGACTTAGTTTAAAAATTTAGTTAAAATAACATTGAGTAAAATAATACACAAAATAGTAGGAAAAAATTTGTCCACTAAGGTGTTTTCTCTATAAAAGTTCTTCTTTGAATAGGTGTCTATCTCCATGTTAGTAGCCACAGCTCAGAAAACTACGAAAGAGACAAATTTCTCCAATGTCATATTTTTCAAGAGGAGAGGGCATTGAGATAAAAATGATGTACCTCAAATAAGATACTTTTATTAAAAAGCGCTTTGTTCATTGCAATGAACTAATGTATAAAGTGCAAGTGATTCTAGTGTTCTGACACTGTGTATATGGAATATTCTAATCTAATATGAAGGTTCACTGAAGTAATTTGCCCCCGAAAAAAGATCTGTGCATGCCATCTTCTCTCCTCCGCTGCCCTCCATTATTCAGGTGTCTCTTCCTTTGGACACCCTCTAGTTTACTCAGGTGTGAGGAGACAGACCCTGTGGTAGCTGTACTTTGCAGGAAGTATATAATTTATGAGTAGCTCATTATTTGCTTTGGAGAAGGAATATATTTTCAAGGCTCATACTTCCAAAACCATTTTACTATTTATTGTGTTCTTTAGTTTTTCTTTTTCCTTAAAAACATCTATGCAACATCCACATAAGTGGTTAGGAATACATCCAATGGAACCTTCTGAAACAGAGCCAGGAAATAGGTCACACTGAATCGTGGCAAAGGGTGGGTGGTCAAGTATCACAGCACTACAACATAAACACACGTGCACACGTACACATGCACACACAAATGAAATCTTACATTTGAAAGATAGCAGGTGCCAGCAAAAAGTATGCTTGACAAAAACACTGAAAAATACATATAAAAATTTAGATTAAAATAACAGGGATTAGCTGTGCACTTTCTCTAACATATTTCTATCTTCTAAGACTTTGGAAGCCAAGTATTTTTTTCAAATACCACCTTTAAAAAAAAAAAAAAAGATCTATTTATTTGGGTGGGGAGAAGACAGCATGTGGCAGGGAGAGGCAGAGAGAGAATCCCAAGCTGACTCCATGCTGAATGTGGAGCCCGTCACTGGGCTCAATCTCACGACCTGAGCCGAAACCAAGAGTCAGATGCTTAACCAACTGTGTCATCCAAGCACCCCTTAAATACCACCTTTTCAATTAAAAGGGTGCTTACTGTCTAATGGAAGAATGCATTATAATAAATCAGATGAGATTTTTACACTATTATCAGAATGAGTTTATGCTCAAAGCCCACTGACAAAGCTAGTTAGAATATTTTTGGCATTAAAGGAAGAGTAGAAGTTGCCTTAAAATGGTCCTTTTGGTGCAAAAAAACAAATAATTGGGAGAAATGAAAAAAAAAAAAGAAACAAAAACCCTAACGTGAGTAAAAATGTAGATCCTATTGAAGCAACTTCATTTCACCAGAACTATGCAGGCATCCTCTATTCTGTAAAATGACTGGTTAGGCTGCCAACTTTGCCTGAATTTTATTTTATAAGTTTTCACTGCTATGATTCAGCAATTGCCCACTACCTCCAAATAATCAGGTATGGTGAAAATATAGCCAAACTATAGTTCCAGCTCTTGAGAGTATAACCCCTGGTATATACAGTTTACACAAAGAGAAATACTAGAATTAATTTGAACTTTTTTATGCTTGAAAAGTAAAGCATATTTAATGCAATAGGGGCAATTCACAATGCTCTTAACCAAAGTTTTCAGATTTTATGAATTCCTTCTGGTTAGTTGTCAAACATTTTGGGGAAGAAGCCATACTTGAAGTCCAACTGAAGAATAATGGATAAGTAACAGCTATCAGGAATATATTTTGGAAATCCAGTATTTACAGTGCTTCCCACCAGAGAACTTTGCCAAGGCAATTTACAAACACTAAAATTTTACCTTCATAAGGAAAACCTACCATTTAATATAAATTATACGATGTTTCCCCATGTTTGACAAAGTGTACCAAACTTAAAGTGGATCCATAGAGGACAGTGAGTAGATGTTCTTTTCAGTCATCATTTATGAAACAATTAGTAACATAAACCTGACTGAACCACACGTCATAGTTAGAAGGAATGACATCCTGATTAAACATATGGATCTTGGTTTAATAGCAACTTTAATATAATCATTTAGTAACCACAGAGCTTTGGAATATTAAAATAAGAATGTGTGATCCCAAGCAAAGCTTCAAATGAACACCTCTAGCTCCATGCAAGGCTTGGAGTTTGGAATTCAACAAATAATAGAGAATGGGCTGAAAAAGCATTTACATTCCAGCACCTGTTGCTCATTAACTGAATCCACTTGGGCAAGGAATTGAACCTTTTTGTACTTGGGTTTCTTATCCTTGAAGCAGGGATACTACTACTCATGAGGCCCAGTTCACACAGAATTATAGCACCAAAGCCAGCAGCAGCAGCAGTAGTGGTAAACGAGAGAGTAATAATACAACTTCCGTTTTCTGAGGGCTCATCCTGTGCCATGGGCTGAAAACAAGACAGTGAGACAGGCAAGCCTTTGTTTGTAGACAGGGAAGCTGAGGCTCCAAGACAAGAACTCGCACAAGGTTGCACATGTGTTGCTGGCAAAGTCCAAGTGTGAACACAAACTACTCTGACTTGGGAGGTCATGATCTGGTTCACATCTCAAAATGCGTTCCCATGTGTCATCTAATGAGGTAATGCTATTGACCGCACGTTGTAAATGGCAAAGCACCACCGTAATGCAATGTGTTATTACTGTAGTTTTTTAAAAAGTTGCTAAAATGTATTTTCTGCTGAATATATAATACTATTCTTAGCAAAAGCCCATCAGTTCAAGAAACTAAGGAAAAAGCATGAATGAATATGCAACTTGTCACCTAAAACATGGAAAGTAAAACAGATGTGACAGTTGGTGATGTCATCTCATACATTTGTGCATTCACACACAACCGAACAAAGTCCCAACCCACAAACATCAAGTATCTCTCAAGACACCAACAGAAGTTGCTGGAATCATTAAAAAGCCAGATTTGTTGTGTATGGGTCATGGTTCCCCAAGCCCTTACTGACAACCTGGCAGGCTGCTCACAGGAGGTTATTAGAGACATAGGACAAGTATGTTAGGCTGCAAATAGTCTGTGGCCAAGCCTCCCAGGGATAACAAAGGGCAGCAAGTTAGCAAAGCTGCCCCTTGTTGGCAGCCCAAAACAATTACAGTGAACTGGAAAAGTAACAAAGGCATATCAACCATCTTCACACTGTCCTAATTTTTCTAAGCATTTAAAACAAATGAAAGATTCCATTTGACAACAACAGGTAAACTAATTTATGGTTAAATTCACATGTTATTTACTTGCAAACACTCTTTGCCCAGAAAAAGGTTCAGTCCTGAGTAAAATAGAAAAGGCAGAAAAAGTGACCTCTATACTTCTCTTCTACATTTCTGCTTTTCTGAAATTGTCCTCACTCCTCCTAGAGCCTCCATGATACACCTAGCTTATCCCACCTCAGGTGGCAAGGCCCCAGATATTTGTCACCACCCGCCCTCTTCCCTTTACTGTGTTACTGCTCTTTGTTTCTTCTAGAAGAGATGAAATAAAACCTGAAGGCCAAGATGTACAGGTATGTGGATCAGGACACTAATGAGTCCTGGGCAAATAACGAGTAAATAATAATGTACAATCCCTGCCCTTAAGGAACTCACAGCCTGGACATGTCAACAATGAGTAACATTACAGAGTAGAGCATGCTAGCCCTGGGAAGTGTACAGGAGGGAATTCGTATGCAGTCTTGGCATCAGGGAAGGAAGGGAAGGCCTTACCACGTTTGGGTTGACCTTATGTCGAAAGCATGTGATGTTCACCACGTATGGCCAATCATCAGGCTCCATCAGCACCCCAGCAGCATGAGCACACGTGACATGGAAGGAGGCTGGGCAGCGGCCATAGGAACACTGGATACAGGCTCCAGAGACCTTCTTAACCCGGTATCTGCAGAAGATGCATTTCTGGAGGGTTAAAACAAAGATGAACATCAATTCCAACTGTAACTCAGCCGATTTCCACACTTCATAGAATAATAGCTATTAGAGAGGCAGAAAACTGATTACATCAATAAGTCTTGACCCTGCAGGGGCCCTAGTGGTGAGAGCAACTGTGACAATGTAAGTTGTGTATTTTTAATGAAACACACTGCTATAGTCACATACTACCAAACATATATTGAAATACTTCCGGTGGTTAGGAAAGCCAAACCCTTTTGCATATGCTTCTCCAGGCACAGTAAGGAAAGCCCCCAGGGGTGCTCCTGTAAATCACCCATGAATGCTTAAGTTACTTCTCTTTTACCTCCTGCATGGCAGGACTTTTGGTACAAGAGATAGAATATGGGTTTGGAAGATAGGTACCTACTCTCCTAAATTAGATGAGATCTTCAGAAATAACCCCAAACAGCACAGAGATGGTCTTAGTTTTCTATTTATAAGGAACTGTAAAGTGTTAATGGTCCAATGTGGAAACTAGAGGCTCAAGTGTTTAATAATACAAATCTGAACCCTTCATGACTGATAAAAAATATGCTTCCCAAAGTGAGAAAATTGAAAATCATCCCAAAGGGCATAATTTTGTTGAGTATCTATAGCTGACTATGCCTGGTGAAGAGAGAATGAAAATAAAAACAGCAATAATGATTACCACAATCTAAAAATTAAATTGCATACAATTAGCCCTAGACATTTTCACTATATTTGTGCTTCACTAAATGTACAATTAGTGAATACTTGAAGGTTAGAAAAAAATGGTCGTAGAACAACATAAGGTAGGTTCAGAAAGCAGAAGAAAGAGAATGATAAAAAGCTTGACTTTTCGTTCCTAAGGATGAAAAAGGTCTGCAATCTTATCAAATACTGGTGCAGCTGCTCTTCTTTTATAGGTACATTTTCCTTCCTGGGACAGAAAAGGTACTTAAACTCAATGCCTTTTGGGGATCATAATATTTTATCACAGACCTGTAAGAATCAATGTGCACTTAACTTCTAACTCTTCCTCGCCCTACATCAGATCAGCAACTTTAGTCTTACAGATTCTGTACCTTAATCTTGCCCTGATCTCTCCCTGCCCATCTATACCAACTGCCACTGCCTCTGCCCATGGTACCCAGCATAGTAATATCCTCCTAACTGGTCTTTTATTTTATTCCATTTCGATTCATCTTCCCCAGGCCTGCCAGAGTGATCTCTTTACAACATAAATCCAATGTCAGTCTCCTGCTTAAATGACCTTCAGTAGGTTCTCCTTATCTCCAAAACATTCCAGAAAAAAAGGAGAAGGAATAGCATGAGATAGAAGAGGCTTATAATAGACCCTTATAGTCCATCTGAGCAATCTTATTTCTCACTAGTCCCCATAAGGGCCCCACACTCCAGACATTTATCTGCTCTCCCTATATATCTGGATTCAACGTACAATTAAGTATTTTTAAGTGGGAGTTAAGGATGTGGCTTAGTTGATTAAGAAACTACACACGTACTCACACACAGAACCACAGAACTGAAACAAGACCCATTATAATCTGAATAAAAGTATTACTTTCTTGCTATCTTGGCAATTTTTAAAAAGACTTTATCTATTTATTTGAGAGAGAGAGAGAGAGAGCACAAGCAGGGGGAGGGGCAGAGGGAGAAGCAGACTCCCTGCTGAGTAGGGAAGACTGATGAGGGGGAGGGGGGATCCCCAGACCCTGGGATCATGACCTGAGCTGAAGGCAGCTGCTTAACTGACTGAGCCACCCAGGTGCTCTCAACAATTCTTGTTATCAGTTTCAATACATTCTTGGTAATTCTTGGCATTCTAGTATTTTTTGCCAATTCCAATTTTTTGAAATGTGATGGTAGATATAATAGCAAAAACTCGTATCAGGAGCCCCAGGCATAATCAGACAATCTTTTAAGAGCCTAATCATACTACCTGGAAGTCAGCATTTGACTTAAGTTCAGATATTGACAGATATGAAAGGAAAAATGGTTTCCCATTTCCCCAATTAATTCTAAGAGTAGGAAAGAGTATTATGACTTAAGCTAGTTAATGAATTGGTAACTCCAACCTCTTCCACCATTAACTGCCTCATTAAACAGAGGCCCTCCAGAAAAGGCAAAAGAAACAGAGATTATACACTTAAGCCAGTGAGGATTCAATCCTTGGAATCTAGTAAGGGAAGGGCTCTCCTTTTCAAGGAAGACAAGAGGTGGTCATTTCTAAGGATATAACCAGTATCCTTACAAAGTCAACCTAACTGCAGACTACTATAATTTGATGCTTTGGAAGATGTTTATTCATAGAGTTGGGAAGTTTGACTTTTAAGTCAAATCTCCTCAGGTTTTTGAGGAGATAGAGAAATACATAAAACCGAGTAGGGGAGCCATTCTGTATCTTATAGTACAGTCTGTGTTGTATTTCCAAACCCCATTTTCACTTGCTTGCTACTAAACCAGTTGTTCTGTAACCTGGATGAAACATCTGTGGCAATCTGACACCTACACATGTCTGGGCTACAGAACTTAATTCAGCAGGGCAAAGAAAAGGACAAACAGACAGTTCTTAAGAATGTTACAACGGAATAAGCACTATGAAAGAAATAGAGACAAGGTGCTATGTGGAACCCGAATGAGTGGTGCAATGAGTTATGCTTGGAGGCAAGACAGGGAAGAAGGCCTTCAGGAAACACATGGCTGATTGGATCAAGATGGTGGACTCAGCCTGTGCCACAACTTTCCCGGCTCTAACCCCTAAGTAAAGATAAAGGGAAAAGAGTGAAAATATAATAGTACTGCCTACCAAGAAAAGGTACAACTAATCCCAGGGAGCAGATCCCCAGCAAACGGTTATTAGTAGGTATCTCTGAGGGGATAGTTTTGGCAAGGCCAATGCCAAGAGTGGAAGCAAATACTAAAAGACAAGCTACCCACTGCTGGACCAGCCCATGGCCCATCCTGCCCCAAACATCATCAGCAGGTGAGGTAATCCTATCTGATCTGAATCAGAGTCCTATGATCTGCCTCATCATTCACCAGCAAGCCAAGTGGATTCTCATTTGGGCTGAGGAAAGAAAAAGTGCACCCATGATGCACAACTAAAATACAATCAGATACTTTAAAAATCACAAACATTTGAGGGAAAACAAAAATAAATAAGAGGTGCTATGATTACTCAATAGAAGAATATCTGACCTAAGGAGTCAGGTAAGTGGAAGCACAAGATGAGTTAAAAAGAGGTACAGTATATATTATGACAGAAATTCCAAAATATATCCCATCATTAGGAAAAAAGTAACAACTACATAGCTAAGAAATTCAAAATATCAGTCAAAAAGAATCCAGATGTGCTGAATATTAGATTGTATCCTATTGAAGATCAAATTAGCAACTGGAAGATGGAACCTAGAGATTGTACAGAACCTAGAAGAAAATTAAAAAAAAAAAAACAGAACATAAATGCTAATATGGAAAAGAGATCCAGATGTTCTATTATCTTTCTAAAAGGCATCTTACAAGAATAAAAAAAGAGAAAAGTACAGAAATTTTCCAGATCTATAAAAAAGCCCAACAAGTAGGATTAATTTAAAAAATCACCTACACACATCTTAGATCTCAAAATAAAAAGAGAAAAATCCCCAAATCTTCCAGAGAACAAAAGAGAAAAATCAGATTACCATCAGATCTCTAATTTGCAACAGTGAATGCTAACAGACAATGAAACAATGTCTTCAGTTTCCGGAGGAAAATTAAATTTGGTCTATATTCAGCCTAATTATCATTCAAATGTGAGGGCGAACATAAAGACTTTTTCTTTTCTTTTTCATATACAAAGATGAGAAGTATGTGTGAAGCGAAGAGCAACCAAAATGCTAAATATGTAGATAAGTCTAAATGAATATTGACTTTATAAACAATAATAGTAATGTCTTCTGGGTTTCAAATATAGAGAATATGAACAGATAACAACTGAAGCATATAAGGAATAAGTGGTAAAAGACGTTTAAAATGTTCTAATGTTCTTGAATTGTCTGGGAAAGGGGTAAAAGTACCAATTAACTAATAGTGTGAAAAACAAAACAGAATAAGGAAAAATAATGAATTCAAACAAAGACACAAAAGGAAGGAAATAGAAGCAGAACAAACAGGAGCAAAGGGAAAGAACATTGTAAGTTGGCAGAACTAAACCCAAATATGTCACTATGTTATGTGTAAACAGACCAGGGATAGCAAACTTTTTCTTAAAGTGCCAGATAATAAATATTTTAGGCTAGTATGGTATAGAGTCCCAGTTGCAACCACTCAACTCTGCCACTGTAGCACAAAAGCAGCCACAGATAATCTGCAAATGATGACTGTCATTGTGTTCCAATAAAACTTTATTTGTAACAGCAAGCACATACCTTAGTTCACTGACCCTTGCTATAGGCCTTGGGCATGTATTTGAAGTTAGTATAATAGAATTAGTATTTAAGAATGATCACTCTAACTCTTAATGATAAAGAACAAACAGGGTTGATGGAGGGAGGTGGGTGGGGATGGGCTAAATAGATGGTGGGTATTAAGAAGGGCACTTGTTATGATGAGCACTGGGTGTTGTATGCAAGTGACGAATCACCGAATTCTACTCCAGAAACCAATATTGCACTGTATGTTAACTACCTAAAGTTTAAATTAAAAAAAAAAAAAGAAAGAATGATCACTCTATCAGCAAGATGGATTGAGGTGGGAAAACAAACTATTAGGAAGCCACAGAAATATTGAGGCACAGGATGATGAGGACTTGGATTAGGGAAACAGCTATTGGGAGGAAGGTAAATTTTGAGTTTTTTATTCTTGTTGCCCTTTATTGATAGAGATTTTATGCCTTCCTCTAAACAGAGCTGCTCCCTTAAGATCAGGGTTGGACACTCTGTCTTCTGTAGGAAAGAACCTCTCTAGCAGCGGCCTTAGTGTGAAAATGGATAGGGGGTAGGGGC